GTCATCTTCGGCGAAGAGCTCGTGGGTCTTGGCCTTGACAGCAAGGGCGAATTTCTGGAACATCTCGGAGATTTGCAGTGGGGGTTCCATCTCCTACTGCAAATTCTTAGCCCGTGCAGAGAGGGGTTGGGGTGCTTTAAACCTTTTTGCTTTTTCCTATTTCCTAATCAATCTTTTACGAGGTCAACAGTGTGAACTTGAGCTTGATCTAAACCAGTTTAGCATTGTTCTCAATAAATTTTTGTCGATGTAACTCGATTCAATTTATGCTTAACTACGATTAAATTTCATTTACTAGATTTTTTTAATATGCTCTAGAGACAATTTCGATTTAGGGAAAAACTCTTATCTCTCATATTTTTAATCATAAATTTTAGCAATTTTGTTATGAGCATAAAATGAGGGAATCAATTTTAATTTTTCCTCGTTTAGGAATTTGTGAAGTGGACTTTTGGCATGGGGAACGCGACTGACTAACGGTAACAAGAGGTGAGATATAGTGACAGGCGATGCACGGAAGTTGAACACGTATTTTGGGTTCTTCTACATGTACACTGAGTTTGACACCTTAGTGTACCGACTTCCTCAAAAGAGGGGGAACCGACATTTTTTTATTTGCCGCGAGTCCTCCCTCTTGTGAGTGGTTGGCATCACCCCAGTATACAACTAGAAAAATCCATTTTTGTGCTTCCTTGTAGTAATAAACTTTAGACAAGATTTATTCTTTACTTAATTTTGTTAAGTACCCTACAAAATAAGTTATAGTCGATATGAAATTTCGACTTATATCGAAGTGAAATATCTCATACAAGTCTATGAATTATTTTTTTAATCAATTTTAGTTTATTTGTTTTGGCCTTTCGGGACAATTTTTTTTTTTTTTTTTTTTTTTTTAAAACAAATTCCCAAATTAAATTATTTATCAAACGGTACATTATGTAAATATATGTTAAACCAAAATTTAACTATGTTCTAAAAATTGGCTTCACACATAGAGTTTAGAGTCAAATTATCAAATCAAGGTTATACAGATAGTAGGTCTGGACATGGTTTCGCGGGGTGCTTTTCTTCTTAGAACAGAAAAGGACACCGTACGACAATAATCTGCTTCGCTAGATTACCTTCCACCTTTTCTCCATCGCCTCGGGACGAAAGAAATTTTGATTACAACTTTGTAAAAAACTTACAATTGAGAATTTGAATATATTGAAAATAAATTGAACGTTGATTGATGAAAACTGAACATTACAATGAACGAAAGCAGAAAATTACAATTGTTGGTGTAGGGGCGGACACCAGTGAGCTTGAAAGATTTTTGAATGACTAATACCCCCTATAATAGCATTCGAAACAAAAACTTAAGTGACAAAAGTAGACGTTTAAAAGACGAGAAATCATACTAAACGTTTACTAATATCAGAGTTATTTTACAATTGAAATAACTATTACAATGAAAAGAAAATTACAACTCAAACTTGAACTAATATTTACAATGTGCGGTCGAAGTTGGGCAAACTGCTACTGCAATAGTGTCAGGGGGTTAAGTAAATCTGTGGTCCTTGACATTCTCCCCCATTTGTTTTGGCAACGTGTTCGATTCCATCAATGCATGATATGCTTCAATTACTGGTTTGAAGGCTCCAATAGTTTTTTCTCTTTCCCAAGTATTTTCATCGCTGCTGCATCCAATCCATTTGACCAAGTACTCCTGATAATCTTTTCTAGAAGCTCGAGTGATTCGATGGTCAAGAATAGTTTCAGCAACTTTCTTTCCAACTTTCTTCAGTTCAAACACAGGTCGCTTTGACTCATTTCTAGATGCATCCTCCTTATCTGCAAAGTATGACTTCAGCACACTAACATGAAGGACCTTGTGGATTTTACACCATGAAGGGAGTTCAACTCTATATGCAATTTTTCCAATCCTCTTCACGATGGGTAATGGTCCAATGTATTTTGGCGTCAGTCTTGAGTCCTTCTCTCTTGTTGGTTTGTAAACATTTCTGTCGAGAAACTTAACCATTATCAGATCTCCAACATTGAATGCAATGGAACGACGCTTTAGATCTATAGCCTTTTTATATCGTTTTTGAGCTTTCCCAAGATAACTTCGAGCAATTTCAATATTTCGTTTCCACTCTTGAGAAAAGTTCTTAGCTTGAGGGGACTTGGTACTTTGTTCGATATCCACTATACGAGGGAGTAGCGTTGCTGGCCAGTAACAATTTCAAAAGGACTCTTATTGGTGGAAGAGCTCTTTTGGGCATTGAAGCAAATCTGAGCTGCATCCAAAAGTTTTACCAAATTTTTCTGCGACGTAGAGATAAAGTGCCGAAGATATTCTTCTAGTATAGAATTGAAGTGCTCCATCTGTCTGTCAGATTATGGGTGAAAACTAGAACTCGTGCTCAAAGTTAAACTAAGAAGTTTGAACAACTCAGTCCAAAATATGCTAGTGAAATGAGGATCTCAGTCACTGTCGATGTCCTTAGGCAATCCCCAGTATTTGACAATATGTTTGAAGAAAAGTTGAGCTATATCTTCCGTAGATACATACTTAGGCGCTACAATGAAAGTTGCGTATTTTGATAGACGGTCCACCACGACGATGATAGTGCCAAAATCCTCAACTTTTGGCAACCCAATAATGTAGTTCATCGATATACTTTCGAATGATCGGGTTGGGACGGAAAGGGGCTCCAACAATCCCTCCTTTTCTGATGATTTGCCTTATCTTGCTGACAAATAAGACAGATTTTTACATAAGTTGCAATGTCATCCCGCATTTGAGGCCAGTAGTATACACGTTGCAGTAGTGCACAAGTGCATTCCTCTCCGGGATGCCTTGCCCAACTCGTGTCATGACATTCTGTAATTAATGATTTCCTCAAATCTCCGCCCTTAGGAACATATAGGCGGTCTTCCTTTGTCTTCAATAGCTCCCCATCGAGCCAGAATTATCGAGTTTTACCCTGCTTGATAAGGTCGACCAAATATTGAGTAGTCGGGTCCTTCTCCATAAGTGCACGAATTTGGTCTCTTGTGTTTGTGGTGACGGCGCTCCCTGAAAGAGCAGCTACGGAGCAAATGGAAATCAAATCGGCCCGTCGACTAAGAGCATCAGCAACATGATTACTAGATCCGAGACAATACTCTTGCATAAAATTGAACTCTGCAAGAAATTCTTGCCAACGAGCCTGCTTGCTCGATAGTTTTGGTTGGGACATGAAGTGACTAACCGCAGTGTTATCTGTCTTCACAATAAATGGAGACCCAAGCAAAGTGTGACGTCATCCTCTGAGACAATGGACTATTGCCAACAATTCTTTTTCATGTGTCGAGTAACGACGTTCTGTTTAGTTTAACTTCCGGCTCTCATATGCTACCGGATGTCCTTCTTGCATGAGGACTCGACCAAATACAAAATCTGAAGTATCTGTATGAACTTCAAATGTTTTAATCATATCTGGTAAGGCTAAAATCAGGTTTGGCCACATGGACTTCTTCAACCTTTCAAAAGCAGTTTGACATTGGGACGACCAATCCCAATTCTTATCCTTCTTTGTTAATTTGGTAAGTTGCAATGTAATTTCTGAGTAGCCTTTTACAAATCTTCGATAGTAATTGCATAACACCAGAAATGAACGTACATCAAGTATGGTTTTTGGTGGTTGTCAATCTTTGATGGCTGTAACCTTCTTCGAATCCATGTGGATTTTACCTTGTTCAATGATGTAACCCAAGAAACTGATAGATGTCTGAGCAAATGAGCATTTAGACGATTTGGCATAGAGTTCATTCTCCCGTAGCCGATTAAAAACTTGCCTCACATGTTTGACATGTTCCTCCAATGTCTCACTGTAGATTACTATGTCCTCCAAGTACACCACGATAAAATCATCTAAGAACCCGTGAAGTACCTGATTCATCATAATACAAAACGTTACTGGAGCATTTGTCAAACCAAAAGGCATCACTTTAAATTCAAAGGCTCCATATCTGGTTATCACCGTAGTCTTTGCTTCGTCTTCCTCCTTAATCCGAACTTGCAGTATCCGGATCTAAGATCAATTTTTGTGTAATACTTCACCCGACTCAGTTGATCGAAGCAATCCGTAACCAGTGGGATAGGATAGCTATTCTTTACATTAATCTTGTTCAAGGCTCGATAGTCACAGCATATTCTAAGAGAACCATCGACCTTTATCTGAAACAATACAAGATCTCCGTATGGCGACTTCGCAGGCACAATGATTCTATTTTCCAGCATTTCTCCCAATTGCTTCCTAAACTCTTCAAGCTCAGGCTGAGACATACAGTATGGTGCCCTGACATGAGGTTTGACACCTGGAATAAGTTCAATCTCATGATCAATCGTCCTTCTTGGTGGTAATTTCTTTAGTAATTCGTCCAGCATGATGTCCTCAAATTCCCGAATAAACCTTTTAACGGATTTTGGAATAGGGCCATTCGCCTCTTCGATCTCCTCTAATCGAAAAGTGTACAAAAAAGAAGGTTCATTTCTCTTAAAACCCTTACTAAATTACATGGCTGAGATACTCTTCTCGTCTATTATCCCAACTTGTGCAGCAATGACACACGGCTTATTTCCTATCATCATTAACGAATCGGAATATGGCAACACTGCTGTGTTAGTATCCCGAAAAAATTCCAATCCCAAAATAAGCTTGAAATCATCCATCCGAACTGCAAATAAATTTGTCCTTCCCTTGAAAGGACCTGCTTTCATCAACACCGATTTCGTCACTCCAACTATTGGTTGAGCAGCAGAGTTGATTGCTTTGACTTTTCCACTACCCTTTTCCAGAACAAGTCCAAGTCGCTCTACTTTAGTACATGCAAGGTAGTTGTGGGTAGCACCAGTATCCATAATAGCCTTGATTGGCTTCCCGTTGATTTTCACATTAATGTACCTTAAGCCTTTAACCCTACAAATTCGAGCCTTCGCTTCTTCCATTTTTGCCTCTTTCAATGGGACATCATCCTTTTCAGCAACCCGATGCGACAGTGTGTTGCACCGATTTGAAAATGCCCAAACTACGTCCTCATCCTCTTCGGAGTCGGTCTCACTATGACAATTAGCCTGTGGGGCCTCTTGCTTTGAACTTGACCCGTCACTTGCTAGCTAACAATATGCATTCACCATCCGCTTCTGAGGACACTTCGACACCCGATGAGGTCCTGCACATAAAAAGCACATCAATTTGGGAGTAGCATCAGTTCGGCCCTCCGTTGCTTTCCTTTGTTCCAGTTGTTACTGTTGCTGCCGTTAAAATTTCCTTGACAGCTATTATGATAATTTTTCTGAAAGCCACGGGTGCTTTGATAGGCTCCTCCTTTATTCTGAGAGTAACGCTCTCTCCCATTTGGATTCGAGCTGGATTTGTAAGGTCTGTTACCACCTCCAATTGCTTGATTACTCCCTGAAGGTCGATCTTTTCTAGATTTCGTTTGGTAGTCGCTCAAGTATTCAGCGGCTCCCATCGTCGTGCTCAAATTAGTAACTTTATATCTTTGAAGTTTAATGCTTGTCCACGATTTCTACCCTTCCATAAAGGTGAAGAGCTTATCCTTTTCCGACATATCTCGAATATTCAGCATATGCTCTAAAAAAGATTTCACAAACTCTCTGATAGAGCTTGTGTGTTTCAAGTCTCAAAGTGCCCGTCGAGCTTTATACTCGACATTTTTCGGGAAAAACTGGATCTGATCACTTCTTCGAGGAGATCCCAAGAATCTATTCAGACCCTGACCTTTCTAGCATCGTCTTCGATCGAAGCTACGAGAAAGTACTGTTCCATGTCAAATAAGAAGTTTTCGACTTCTTTTGCATCACGTGCCCCTCCTTAGGTACATGGTTCAGGAATTTTGAGTCTAAGAGTATACTTAGGTACGGGAGCTTGCCCATTGCCTACTGCACGTTGGAATACTCGTAATTGAGCTCTCAACGCTTTCATTTCATCCTGCAGATCAGGAATGATTGCAGCAGCTTCAATCATTGCTGCGCAAGCCCTTTGGCTTTCATCCAGTTGGATATGTAATCCACGAATATCGAATTCTGCCATCTCGACTCTTTCCTCGAGACCGTCCAAGGCATAGCACAACCTAGTAGTTGTCTCATCAAGCGCATCTACGCATTGTTTAGTAGTACTCTTCTTTTGAAGCTCTTCCACTTCAGTGGTGTGGGATGTAATTGGATCCATAGCTTTCTTATCGAGGGTCGTGAGCGCGGCTCTGATACCAACTTCACGAGGTGCCTTTCTTCTTGGCACAGAAAGGAATATCGTGCGGCAGTAGTTTGATCCGCTAGACTACCTTCCGCCTTTTCTTGATCGCGTCGGGACGAAAAAAATTTGATTACAATTTTGTAGAAAGCTTATAATAAAGAATTTGAATACATTGAAAGTAAATTAAATATTGATTGATGAAAACCGAACATTACAATTGACGAAAGCAGAAAATTAAAATTGCTGGTGTAAGGGACGGACAGTGAGCTTCAAAGATTTTTGAATGACTAATACCCCTTATAATAGCATTCAAAACAAAAATCTAAGTGACAAGAGTAGATGTTTAAAAGACGAGGAATCATACTAAACGTTTATTAATATCAGAGCTATTTTACAACTGAAATAATTGTTACAATGAAATGAAAATTAGAATTCAAACTTGAACTAATATTTACAACGTGCGGTCGAAATTAGGCAAACTGCGGCTGCGATAGTGTCAAGGGGTTAAGTAAAGCTGCGGTCCTTGACACATGGTCCGGTTCTAGTTGATTATCTTTAGATTTGAACCAAATTTGAATTTTCGAATATTTAATAAGTGGAACCGTTAGGTCCAAATTTAATTATGAAACTATTCGAGTTTAGTTTCGATCAGTTCCTGTATTTTATATAAGAATTAAGTTTTTTTAATATTTACAACAACGTTACATTAACTCAATTAATGATATGTTCAATATTAAAAGTATTTCCAAGAAACTATTTAAATATGGTACGCTCTTTGTTTTAAAAAATCAACCTTTAAATTCATACCCAAAAAAATTATTTAAATTAACATTTTAATTTTACTCTCTAAATTTAGAAAACCAAACTCACTCTCTATAGTTAAATGTATTCAAAGTGTTTCAATTTTTAATGTAAGAAAATAATAAAATAATTTAGAGAAAAACTAGTTAAAGTAAAATATAGAGAAAATTAATCAATATATTTTGGAAATAGTAGAATTAAGTGTTAAATATAAAAAGATTGATGGATTACTTCAAAATTTTAACTTTTTAAATGTATAGATACTTTCAAATGATAAAATATGCTCTTTAAAAATGGAGAGTCTTTTGACAATGCTCTAACTCTTACCAAATGATGTTATCTAATCCTATATATCTTTTGCACCTCTTTTTGTTGAGTTCTTTATAGACTTGATTGTTAAAATCACAAGATAATGAAGATAACAAGCTCACAATAATTCAATTTTTCCAGAACTATAGAAACGATACTATGGTAGAATAATATATCAGCAAACTTATTCAAAAAAATAAAATAATTTGACTCATTTAAGATAAATAAATTAAAAAATTAGAAAGATTCGATTTTTATTCGATTATTCGGTTATTGATCTAGAATTGAGAACCGATTCGAACCCATCGATTCTCTATTCAGATACTCGTTCAGTATTTAACTTAAAAATAACGGCTTGGTACGATTCAATTCGGGTCAAATTCGATTCGATCCGATTTGTTTCGAGAATTTTATCCAACCCTAACAGATAGTATTATAGACTTAAAGATCACTAAGAACGTTTATCATTAATTGTTTACTCTTTCAAAATGTTTGATACAACTTAAAAGTAACATTCGAGATTTGTTTGATTGCAAAAATGGAATTGAATTGAATTGAAAATGAATTCCAAGGAATTGAATTACCTAGAAATTATTTTTCTGAGAATTGTAAATTATTGTATTTGATTGGTATAATTTTTCACGTGAAAAATGTTGAAATAAGTGTTTTTTAGTGTTCGTTTGACTTTGTTTTACATGAAAATTGTCAATTAAAGAGATAGAATTTACTGATATAGGGGATGAAATTTGTGTCTATTGCAAAAGATATATATATATATATTCAAGAAAATCATCTATCTTTTAGTATTCGTTTGACTTTGTTTTACATGAAAATTGTCAATTAAAGGATTTTTTTTTTTACATTAACTC